TTCAATTTTAAGCTACTAATATCTGAAATCGTAAATTTGCATAAACCTCTGCATTCTAGTGATCCCTCTAGCGAATACCTCAATTTGTAGTTGCCAAGTTCCAAAATCGAAATCAATTGGCCCCAGGTGTACGTCCAATCGAGATTCCCAACTGACGTGTATCAAAGACAATAATCTCCAACAAGCAATTCGGACATCATCCCAATCAGTAGCCGCTCGTTTGCCTCCAAGAACAAGATGTGTTCCCCGTCCCCTTGTGCGTATAAAAACGTGTTCGGTCCACTAAACACGAATCACGGCCCGATAACGATCATCCGAGGGGTTCCTCGGTCTCTGGGACACGTTTTAAAACGGATCGTAGATTCTGCCTGCTTGTCCTACGTAGAACCATTTCGGGCGATTGACGTTTTCTCTCCGGTTGAAACGTCTGACGTCGACCTTGACCTATGCAATGTATATCGGAATATACCTAGGTGCCCGGAGAGCCGAGCAAAATTGGGTTGCCTACTCTCAACTCTCGACCTTTTTTTCGTAGCCCTCCTACACCTCGTCTCTCCCCCCTACAAGTCCTCCTCGCGGTTCCTCCTGGCTGCTCCTCTTTCTCTCATTTTCTCGTCGAGGTGCAATGCAGGGGCTCGTAAGGAGAACGGAAAGCAAAGCGGAGCATCGTGTTTATGTAGGTAGGTAGGTTGCACGGCCTCGAGAGATCCTCTCGTCTCGATGCTTGGCTACGCTGGACGAACAAGCGTCGATTACTCGGGCGAACGTCTTCTTCCCAGATGCGTTTTAAAATCAGTATAATGGTTACACAGGGGGCCTCGCGATAGTCATCGAATTGGTAAAGTATTTCTTGAGATATATCGATGGTTTTATCGTTAATCAGTGAACTCAGTTTCTCTGGCTTTTTGTACCTTTAACCCAAAGTAAACAAATTGTCATTTTTTATTTTTCTGTATTTTCACATAAAAATCAACGATATTTGCGCCGTTGTTTATGAAAGTTTATGAGAATTGAACCGAACGTTATTTCCTCCATTAACGGAATTTGAATGAGATCTTCGCTGAATTCTGTACGAATTTATTCCGTTTTGGAGATTCGAGTTAGGTATAATTCTTCCAAATGTCCGTCATATTTTATTAGAATTTTCACTACGCGAGTTCTTATTGGTTCCGTTAGATTTCCTGTTGCTATTTTGTATTTGTTCGACAGCCATTAATATTATCGTCGAATAGTATACATTGTCGGTTTATGGTGGTCGACGGCCATATTGTTGGGCCCTGAGGGTGCAGGTTCATTACGACCCTTCGGTTACCTGCGTGGAACGTCAACAATTCTTCCTCGATACTTTCCTCCAATCTATCAAACAATGTATCAGTGGAGGTCCTTCGTGTTTTCGCGCGGACGCCTCCAGTGAAAGTAGAGATAAACGTCGAGACGATCGTCGATAAGTTCCCCGAATAATTCGGTGCTCTGTGTACGTGTGTCGTGATGTCATAGAAGTAGGACACAATGGAAACGAGGTTCTCCCGATATCGTCGATCAGCATAGAGAAAACCCGATTCCACGAGTGGCGTTACGTTACGTACGAGGCGGTGCGCGAGATTGCGTTACTTTCGACTGTTATTTCAGTTTCGAGTGGGTGCTTTTAAGAGCGAGCTGCAGGGGAATCAATGGACACGATGTATGTATAAAACAGTCAATACTCAAAGTGTTGTTTATATAGTGAGAAGATAAAAAAAAAAAGTGACATATTGATATCTTAATTGTTGGACGATGACGCAAGGGTTTCGAGAATACTACCGAATTTCTTGGCTGAAAGATCAGCAAACTAGAAAATCTATCGTATAAATAACATCTTATTTATTTCGTAAAATAGAATGGAAGAGGAAAATGTATCCTCTGCTTGTGTGTCAAGTGAATTTGTCTTCTAAATTATATACGTGGTACAAACAAAGATGGCTGAGACGCTGTATCGTTTACGAAAAGAAAGCCTGTTCCCCCGATTAGTGTCTACCACAGGAGGCCCACTCGTGAACTTTAATTACAAAGAAGACTATCGTAATTTTATTCATTCGATTTCATTGGATTTCATTGGATTTCTAACCAAATTAAAATCACGATCGTGGAAAACTCGTCAGGTACGATGAATCGCGGATAGATCGAACGGTTATCGCAAAGAAAAAAAAAAACGATTTCTGGTTCGTGTGCGCGCGCGTTAGTGAAAGGTCGCGCCGCGAAGGCATCGGGGCGCTTCGACTCGACACAAAAGAGCCTTTATCTTATCTTACGGACACACGTCGCGCGCGACAAAGGCGCGGGGAATGTTTCCTCGTAGTAAAATGGCCCGTTTAAAGTACACCACGCACAATAGAACAGACGGTGCAGTGGTGTATACATATATATGTATAGTAGACTGTACCTGCTTCCTAGCGGCGTCGAGGCGACCGGATACAAAAACGACCCTTTAAAGGAGACGCGGCGTGCCTCACCTGCTCCCCCTCTCTCCTGATCGTTAGAAACGAACGTTAGAAAGTTTGGAAGATATTCGTCGTGTTTCGAACCATCGAACTGTACACCTTGAGGCGCTGGACAGAATTGTCCATTATCCACAATTCTTCTGGTTGAGGTGATTCGTGTTGACTCAGGATTCATTTTATTTTATAATAATATTAATAATAATAATTTAGTAACGGGATAAATATCCTTTAGTACAGAGTTATAACAATAAGAGAAGGACGTATATAAAAATGGAAATAAATGATATAGTTAAAATTAATTATTCACAATGCGAAGAAACGAATTCTTTAATGCTGGCGGAGAGTGATTAAACGTGTTGACAGAGTTACAGAATTCGTTGGCCAATCTCAAAGCACGGTCGAAACAACCAAGTTGGCCATATTTAGTACGGAGAGTTTTGATATAAAATAGGTTGTGATAATAAGAGCTTCGAGATGGTACATGAAAATTTAACAGTTCTATAATCTCCGAGCAATTTTACAATTAATAGATAACTTTACAAATATATAAATATATACAAAATAATGTATATAATTAAATACAACTCCTTTTTGTAGTTGAATCTGATGGACGATGTCTTCTCTTGACAGCTTGCAAGACAATTGATTCCTCCAATCGATACCTGTCATTGATCGGTAAAGATCGTCTTCTTCGTTTCACTGTGAGACGAGAGTAGGCCATGATACCTTCTATTCGGTGGCCTCACAGTGCTCGTAACAGTGTCATTATTTGGAACCTGTTGTATTTTTACAGTAATACAGGTTTGGGTTCTGTTATATAATTTTGTTCTATGTCATTTTATTCTTATTTTTTTTTCGTTCTGGTTTCTTGACTCGATTGTATATTTCATTTTCATAATTGTGATAAAAAGTCGGTTCAATTACCGAATACGGTGAACAACGTCGAGTACAGCAATGAGTAATCGACCACGTATATGCGTCCGATCGATATATTTATCCCCGCGAAAAATATTTTGCCCCGACCTCGACTAGGATAATTTCACAGTTTAAAGCCAGCCACCGTGAATGATCCATCGTGCATGAAAAACCGAGGAAGCCGGGAGCGGCGGGACTAGAAGCAGATTAGCTAAGTGAAACTCGGGGATGACCGGAGATAATTTCGAAAGAGAGAGATAGAGGGAAAAAATCGAGCGAGATGACCTCGACCGCCGGTGTGGTGGTCCGTTTTGTGAAAGGAAAATGGGGGGAAAAAGCGAAGGACGCTTGGAAAAAGTCTGACCGAGCGCGCCGTGGCTTTGCTTCCGTACAGAGCGACTTGAGTCTAATGGTCGGTTCAAATAGAATTATCTGTCGAGATATAACGAAGGTTTATTGTCGTCATCAAGTTGGTTTAAATTGTTTTTTTTAGTAGAAATTGCCTGACCACGTGTTCAAGACGTGTTTAAGACATGTTTAAGAAATGGTCAGGTAGTGTGTTAAAACGAAAATACGAGTGCAAAGTATCGTCTACCGTTCGAACACAATTGCATTCGATTATCTACGCGCGTTTGCAAATCGCCGACCTTTCGAATCATCCTCCATCGTGTCCACGTTCCATTGAATTGCAATCAGTCGGACCGTATTTGTCCTGGGAAACTAATGATAAATGCACGACACCGTGGATGATGGCGTTAAGAGCTCGGACGATTCCCATTCCGTGAATATCATCGGCCTCTCGACGATTATATACAGGGTGTTCGATAAGAAACTGATTCCTGATCGATGAATTGAGTAAAATAAAGAAGAATCGTTTGCAGAAAGCTTTGGAATAATTGGATATAATAAGTGCTTTGTAAAACTTCCTTAAAATTTCCTATTAACCCTTTAACGTCCAGTGTGACGTATACGTCAATCTAGAAGATTATATTTCAAAATTTTACATTTAACCATAAGAAAATAATGATATCCTGTCCGTGTGTGTAATATTGTCTCCAGCTTAGTACAGATGAAGTGGAACGATGAAGTCAGTTACGTGACACCCTATATATGTAAATGTCACCTTTTCGCCGCGTCCATTTGAATTGTCGATCGGTTCGGTGTGTAACTGGCTGCCGCATGGTATCTAGGATTGTCTCTGCCGGTTGGTCCTCGAGCGACGGATAATATTGCGGCATGGGGAGTGAAAGCGACATGGTGAACCCGCTTACGAGGTTACCCATGTACTTTTACTCGATTCAAGCCGTATTATAGTGACTACTTACCCGGCAGTCCCTGGCATAGTTACCACCAGAAATATCGTTGGAAAGCCAGCCCGAAGCGTACCGTTCGCTACCCACTCGACGCGCTTGTTGAGCGAAAGAACCTTCTCGCGTCTGTTAAAGTTTACCACGGATTCCTCTGATATAGGTATCGTTCGCCAGGCATCAAGCTTCCTTATGTTATTTCTTTCGTTTTTTTCAAAACGTTAAACCGGCGACGTGTGACGCAACTGACTCTGTTAACCGGACGAGACGACTCAAGTCATGGTTTATACAGTACTGTTCGTTATGTGGGGGTTCTACTATTTGGGGTTTCACTATCTGGGTTTCTACTATTTGGGGTTTCACTATCTGGGGTTTCACTATCTGGGGTTTCACTATCTGGGGTTCTACTATTTGGGGTTTCACTATCTGGGTTTCTACTATTTGGGGTTTCACTATCTGGGTTTCTACTATTTGGGGTTCCACTATCTGGGTTTCTACTATTTGGGGTTCCACTATTTTGGGCTCCACTATTTGGGGTTCCACTATTTGGTGTTCCACTATCTGGACTGTCAATATCTGGATTTCCACTATCTGGATTTCCATTATCTGAATTTCCACTGCCTGGATTTCTACTACCTGGGCTTACACTATCTGGGGTTCCACTATCTGGGGTTTTAGCAAGGTCTCCACTCCTACCAATAAGAGTTCTACCAATGTAAATTTCACCAATCGGGGTTCCACTGATCGGAGTTCCACTAGAATCGACCACCTACCACAAAAGCAACCCAAAGAAAGACACTGTCAATAGTTGAAAGACAGAATTGACATCGTGGATAACTATCTTACATCTACGAGCTTACATCGATCACTTCGTTTGAAATTGGAACACAACATATACGTCATATCGTGCGTTATCCCATATTTCGAAACATTTCATTGTTCAAAGAAATGAACGTCTTAGTTTTTCATATACCAAGGAGGTGGGTTCTCGCCCGTTGGCATGTACAATAATACCAAACAACAAATTTTCGCAAGCTCGATAATCTGCACAGACCTGTTCTGCCCACGGAGAGAGCTGAGAATAAAGGGCTCTGCCATATGCTGTCGACGGACAATGAGGACGAAATAAGAATCGTCGAAGGGTGGCACAGAAGGTAGCGGAAGGGCTCCCATTGACCAGACCCCGCAACCCTCGGCCCCTCCGTCGAGATGTATATATGTATACATATATATATATACGTCTCGATTCTTTTTGGCTGCCCTTGCGAACGACACCGAACCCTCCTCAGCGCAGCCAGCCATCGCCCTCAACCGAGTGAACGGCGAAGGGGCGCAAAACCGCCCTGATTCATTCATTCACTCTCGCGAGACTGTTAGGAAAGTCAATCAGTGTTCCCAACCAATGGCCGAGGCGAAATTAAAGGAGGAAAATAAGAACCAACCTTGTTATTTCGGTATAGGTGTGAGTTAGAGAGGGATTAAACGAGGATTGTGGGTTAGATGGGAGTTTGGAATTGATCTAGACCTGGATTTCCTTCGGTTTTGATATCAGTTAGATGTGTTAAGCTATTCAGGATTTAGGTTTAGGCTTTGGTATGAGTAAGACGTGGATTGATATCGGGGATGTTTGCGAATTAACTGAAGAAGGCTAGCTAGTTGTCAGGATTAAGTGCGATACAAAGTGGTCCAGAATCAAAATTTAGTTGCTCATACACTCATGTAGGTCAAGCAATCAAAAAATTTAAAAACTTATAATTTTATTTAAGTAGAAATATATGAATTCCATGGTTAATAGTATTGATATGAATTCTTTTTGTGAATAGAAGAAATTTATTTTTAACCCTTTGGAGTAACTATATTTTGATTCCGATCTCAACGATATAGAAATCCATTGAACCTCTAGATTATTCTCAAAATCTAAACCGATCATTTGCTCCCCCACCTAACCCACTCACCTAAGTCTAGTCAACCTCCAAGTATCGATCTAAACTGTAAATCCTCGGTTCAGTGATTCCCATAAGTTCAAACCCAAGAGATAACCGATCGTTATACGGAGATCGTGGAAAGTGCAATAGGAGTAGTTTTCTCCGAGTGGCTCGCTCCACTTTCCGGGAAAAACTCGAGGGAAAATACGTATGTAGCTGGCGTGCGCGCAGGCGGTTGGTAGCACTGAAATCCGACGTCGGTTTCGAACACATCTGCCACCCTCTCTTCGATCACCATCCCCCGGGTTCGACCTGAACCGGATCCATACGCCCCGCGTATATACCGGTCCGCTTGGAAAAGGAAGAGGTGGAGGAGGACGGTGAGAAGAGGGCCAGAGAAGGAGAAACACGAAGATGGAGAGAGATAGGACATTGGAGAAGGCGAGGGAAGAACCCCTCGTTCTTATTCCGTCTACCACCCACAGAGGCGGGCACGCCATGAGATCCCAAATGCGGGACTAACCGGACCGGCGGGGATGAATATGTCCTCGGATCCCCAGGCTTCTGCCGGCAGCCGACTGTACCGGGTGATTCTCTTGTTACACGGTGCCTACGGCCCGAAAACATGGGAAACCGATGCTCCCGACCTTCGTGGAGGATCTTTCGAGCTATTTTCTGTTGGGACAATATAGCTGATGGTTTCGGACCCCATTTGCTATTTAGATCGTACTTAGGTCCCCAAAGTGGGGTCTAACGAGATCTGGTTCTAGTTATTTTATTTTGAATCTAACTTTTTAAGGCTTGAAGATTACACACAAAACTACAATTGGAGATTGTGTTAATAAAGATAGTTTATCTGCAGGGGACGCTGAAGAAACTTTGGGAGGGGGGTGGTGAGTTGGAAAAGTTTGGGAAGTTTTAGATTAAATGAAGCTGCTATATGAACACATTAGAAGATGGTCTTAACGAGATGGGAATGTATTATAGTTTAAATACGACATACCTACCGGCCTTGTGTTTGAGAAAGGTGGCGGAGGATATTAGTATGAAATATGAGTAAACATAATCCTTGATCTGTGGACACAAGCAGGCTACAAGGAGCAATATTTTATTACTTCATTAAATAGAATATTTACCAGTAACTTGGAATTAAGCAAGGTCCTCATTAAATCGATACGTCCTCCCCTTCTTCCGCGCCGTGTAATCCAAGAATTTTGTCGAAAACAACGTTCGCCCTCGAAAAATCACCCTATGTATCGACATACACCCGGTCGTCGAATGTATCCTCGTCTGGAACATAATCGCTCGTCGAGGGTGAAACTCGAGGATGCAGAAAATTCATCAAAAACACCATTGAGATGCTAGTCATGCGTACTGATTACCTGGACAATGGATAAAAGGGCCTTAATCCGAAATTGTTAGGTCAGCATGAACGACTTTATTTTATATATCATCAGTAATTTCATACTTTCGAAAAATTCATTCGTTTGTTTCCTCACTATTCGGAGTGATCGGTATCTCCAGGATGTTCATGTTCGTTCGTGAAATAAACCTTACTTTTTCATACGTTCATTCTTTTTTTTATACACACACACACACACACAGTGCAATGGAATGAATTTATACGGTATCTTTAATATTGTATGTCACGCCGACGAAGCGAGTCGAGGAGGCTGACGCATCGAAAATTTCGATTCCTTTACGTTCAGCTTCACTTGACCGCAAATCACACCAATTTGCCCCCCTCCGCCATTATTCAATAAACCTATAGGAACGATACGGCAACTATCCTAATTATTCGCGTCGCTCGAGTCCGCTAATGCCCTCGATTTGTCCGTCTGCTCGATGAACAAGCTCCTTGAACATTTATTTACAGAGAAATACAGACAAACTGTTACTACTCCAAGTTAAAATTTAACGAATTGTCGATTTTAGAAGGTAAGGAAATTTCTTGTGATCAATTGGTCGATGTGTTGAGCATCGACAGGGGATCGATCGGTTGCCTAGGTGTTATCCGTACAGGAGGAACGTGGCCAGACAGAGCCTATTGGAGCAGAACCGCGACGGGATTCCTGTTCTATTCGTGTATTAAGCATCACCGTTGTTGCGTGCACGAAACTCGATGGCTGTTGATCGCTTCCAGTTTGTAGAACCGGTAACAGTCTGCTCCTGAAGTTCTTCCAGGCCTTTAATCCACGATTAACCCCTTGCTCTGACACCTTATCAACCGTCGGCCATAGCCATGATTACATTTACATTGAAAGATTAAAAGTTCAGGCAATATTTCCAATATTTGCAATATTTGCAATTCGACGATATTCACCTTATAATATTCAGTTCGATGCTAATTGGCGTTACACCTCGGTGTCAAGATTTGTCATAGATTGGAGGAGGTTCTACATCCCTGTTTTTTCGAGTTCAGGATCGAGTTGCTTCTTGGATGATACCGAAGTTTTATTGAATTTTCCAAGTTAAGATATGCTATAAATTCATAAACAACAACAGTATACTAACGATGCTGGATTATAGTCTGTGGCGATTCGATTAATTCAGTAGTTCGGAGGATCGTCTGGTCACAATAGTCTCGTGAAAAGTGTCATTTGTTTCACCTGGTTACACGATTGCGAATTTTTCCGAATCGATACAGTATCATCCTCGACATCTATAGGCGTCGCTGCTCGCCTGGCTCTCCCTCCCTCCGTTCTTTCCCGGACGTTTATTAGCCCGCGATGCGGAGGACTTATCGTTAACCTCGATCCTCCCAGCGCGCGATGGTTAATACCCACTCCTCCCACTTGTCTAACTGTACTACTAGGTCGGCCAGGTGCCATCGGACGATCGATTAGAAAGATATCAATTCGAGAACAATCCTCTGGCTCCGGTTCCCCACCTCGATCCTCATGGACACCTGGGGACTCTGATGGTTCGCTTCGGACAAGCTGCACCAGGCTGAAGAACCACCTCAAAATTACCATTTTTCTTAAAATCAATTACCTAGGTACAATCTGTACGTTGAACAAATCTGAGACATTAGATATCTATAGAAGGTGGGTCCATTTAATATCCTTGGATGATCCACCCAAATTAGGACCATTTCTGTACGTTGAACAAATCTGAGACATTAGATATCTATAGAAGGTGGGTCCATTTAACATCCTTGGATGATCCACCCAATTCGGACCATTTCTGTACGTTGAACAAATGTAAGGCATTAGTAATCTATAGAAGTGGTATCATTTAACAAGAATATCGTTGGGTATGATCAGTTGGATCATTCTGTTGGGCCCATTTTTGTCCCGTACACGTATTACCGTCGCTGACATCTGTCGTCATAATCTGTGTACCGGCTATATACGGTTGTTGCTCGAGTTCAGGCGTGTACGACGCATCGATCTTGTCGTTGTTACGACGAAATTGGCCCCTCGTTAACACGATCAAGTTAAAGAGTGTGTATACGGGGCCGCCGGGGCCCAGGCGTCGCCAGCCAAACTGGTTTCCCATAAATCGTCTCGATTACAGGCTCGCGTACGCTTCGATTAAATTAACATTCGACCGGTGGTGGGACCCTGGGCCTCGAGTCGGTCGCCAATCGGATGATCTTTCTCGCGGCGCCAATTCCTGAAGGATCCATGGATCCACACAGGCTCTACCGTCTCGGAGTCCGTCGCGACACGAATCGATGATTCGGTTTAGCGGGCTTCGCGAGAGATACACTTTCTTCGTTAGATTGAGGCCAATCTTTGCTCATTAGATCGAGGCCAATCTTCAGCCGAGGCGATGAGCACGCTCGATACGTCTCTCAGACGGATGTGTTATGTTAACCCCGGGAACAGTTCGACGTCGAATTCAGACAATTATTCGATCTGTTTGATCGTGATACTATATAGATGAACTTTTGAAAAGTGTTTGATAACGAACGAAATTTACGGTGAAATGAAGGAGGTAAAAGGCTTAAAGGCCTTTGCTGTTTTGGAAATTGCAGTGGAAGTTAACTCCTTTGGGGATTCCTCTGGGACCCTGAAGACGTTCGAAGACCCTTGGGAATTCCTTTGGGACCCCTTTAGGTGTCCTTCTAGGTCTCTTGTAGTTCTCTCTCTGAGTCAATCACGGGATCTCGTGGATACTCAAGGATGTTGTGGACCCTCCAAGATCCCAATGGACCCTCCAAGATCCCAATGGACCCTCCAAGATCCCCATGGACCCTCCAAATTCCCTGTGGACCCCCCAAGATCTCTGATGGACCCCCCAAGGTCCCTGTGGACCCGCCAAGTTCCCTGTGGACCTTCCAAGATCCCTGTGGACCCTCCAAGATCCCTATGTATACATGCTGAAGAACTTGTTTTCGAAGGCCCTTGAGAATCCTTCTGGGGCCCTGAG